CAAATTTATTTTCAGCAAATCAGTACAAATGAAGTACTTACCTGGTCATCACACGACGATAGATAATGCCCAAAACAATAATTCTCTCTGCACAGTCAGCCAAGAACTCTGACATTCTGAAATGAAACAGGAATCACCATCAATACAAGTTCTGACTAGATGACACAAGTATTTACATATTAGAAATAGGAAAATTTAATCTTTTTAAAACTGTAGTAACCAGATAGCATGAACTATTAAAAGGCATGTAGTCTCACTTCAGCTTTATTTGCGTTGGCCCATCATGCTTAGCTATGGCTTTTAGATGGTCCCATGACGATTTGCACTCTATTTCCATTTTGACAATATTCTTTGCTAGTTCTTCAAAGTCAACTTTAGAAGCACGGGTTATAGAACCAATCTGGAAAAAATACATTTCAGTTAATATTGCAGTAGGCACTAGTACTAACACTTTGTGTTATGCTTATATGATACATGCACCTATGATAATACTGTACATACCTCTGAATAGAGATCAGATGTGTCTGGATATTTCTCAATAACCATGTGACACAGATGGTGCAAGAGAGAATGTTTGTGGACAGTATCCTTAACCTCAGGAACTTTAGACAGGTAATCAATGTGGAAGCCTCTGCATTCTGTGCCATTCAGGAAGTTACCAATGGCTCTGAGGACAGCTAAAATTGTTTTGAAAGTGTGGTTCTTCATAAGAGCCTCTGTGCCTTGCTTTACATCCATCAGAGGTTCAGCCACTTCCTGAGAAGGTATATCAAGAAAGAAAATATGAAAAAAATATTAGGAAAATACATTTTTTGCTTATTAGTATATTCTCAAATATTCAAACACATATCTTAAAAGAGCAACAGATAGCTAAAAAAATATGTAAGATCTATTTCGTACCTTCTCTATATTATCATAATCTAATTTGAAAATCCAAAGCTTTAATCTAGCTGGGAGCTCTGATATAGATGACAGCATCATAAGGAACTGTTCAGCTGAACCTAAAGGTAACTCTGGATTGCATATTGCAGCCTCCTGAATCTTCTGCTTTTCTTCTGGTGTTGGTAACATGGTTGTAAGGAGTTTCTGCAGAAGAAAAATACATCAGTTACATCTTGCTTAATTTGCGGTTACTGAATCTAAATATACTATGCTGATTTTTTTGTTTCTTTTTCTACAAAGTACTGGTTTTAAGGAATGAATACTATATAGAACAGCAATTAACATTCTCTAAGAATTAAATACTATATAGCTTTTCTGTAAAGCATATGACAAAGAATTATTATTCTAAAATAAATTATCCCACTGGAAATTCTTAAAAAAAATCTAAAAACAAATCTAAAAAGAAACCCCTGATGCAATAGCAGTTATTTCATAAAAGGTCAATGTATTACCTCAATGCCTTCACGATTGATGATTGAGGAGTCCATTTTCAAAATCGCTGTCTTGATTGTGCGTGGTGGTGGTAGCTTAGTCATACCAATATTAATGACGTTAGATCTTTTGGGGTCCAGCACCACAATTTCCTTTATGCCCTTTTGCTCTTGTTGTTTCTGTGGACATGATGATTTGCATAAGAACACATAGATAAAACCAATTTTGTATGAAAAAATAACAATGTCTGATTCTCAAATCTAATTTTACAAAGCATGTGAGATTTCAAATACAATATTTACATTGTCATGTATGCTGTCTACTCCTATTTGACTTTGCAAAAAATTAATAAGAAAGCAAACAAACTAATGCTTTGCCTCATGTTCTAGATTACAAGTGATCATATACTCAATCAACTACTACTACACACAAAAAAAATAAAAAAAAAAAAAAAAAAAAAAAAAAAATCAACCATCACCAAATAAGGTTTAAACAAGCTGTCAAAACAGTCACACGTCACGTCGCATGCCATACTGCCACCAAGGAAGACCAGCAATCATCAACATTTTTAAATTCTGAAGCATGTGTCAGATAATGAACTTATTGTCTGAGTGTCACTATAAAA